TAGACTATAGACTAGACTATAGACTAGACTATAGACTAGACTATAGACTAGACTATAGACTAGACTATAGACTAGACTATAGACTAGACTATAGACTAGACTATAGACTAGACTATAGACTAGACTATAGACTAGACTATAGACTAGACTATAGACTAGACTATAGACTAGACTATAGACTAGACTATAGACTAGACTATAGACTAGACTATAGACTAGACTATAGACTAGACTATAGACTAGACTATAGACTAGACTATAGACTAGACTATAGACTAGACTATAGACTAGACTATAGACTAGACTATAGACTAGACTTTAGTGTATCTGGTATACCTTTGTATAGAAATGTACATATTATATTTTAAAGTCTATTTAGAAAACGTAAACATAAGAAAACCAACAATGTATTTCAAAAAATTGCAAATGAAACTATTTTCCTTATAAAATATCTGACCATAGATTATATTTTCTTTACACATGAGCACATAAAAATTTTTATTGTAAAACAAATGTGGTGACTACTATAAACATACATTGAATGGAAACGAACTACACATACCAAAACATGTTCGTCCATATAGCGCCAGAAATTGTTTTTAACTTCCTCACTAGCAAGTTTATTGTTAAAACTGCGACTTAGTGCAACTAACATGATATAACTTTGTCTGAAAAAAAGAACTAAATTTACACGATACTAAAATAAAAATATTAAAATTAACATGCCAGTCAGGTGGTAGCCAGTATACTTTGTTTTATTGTATAACAAGTTATAGTTAAAAAGAATACAGGTAAAAACAGCAGTAATAATATTTATAACAAAAAGGTGTTGGTGTTGTTGTACTACAACCTGCACTTAAGCAAAACCTACTGTTTAAACATACATGTTTAAAAACCAACATGCAGATACGAACAAGCGAGGAGGAAAATATTAAAAAAAAAACAATGACAACAGCACTGAGATTTGTTTTGAGCCCTTGATGTCGCAAATGTCCAATGGGCTTGTTTACATAATTTTTTGTTTCATTTGCTTTTTAGATATATTTTTTTACTCAACCACCCTCCATGGTCTCTTGGATAAAAGAAAACTTTTATTGTAAACATTGTAGTCTACCACTGTGTATGCAGATGCTGTAGCTGTTCATAGATACATGACGCAGTTACACATTTTTACATACATTCATGTCTACACATGAATGACCGAGGAAAAATAAACAAAAATGATTTTGTAATTTAATATGAACTTTTTTTATTAAAGACCAAAGTACTCGTGTAGTAAAGTATGTGATGAGAATTTTGAATTATATCATTCTTATATTTTTTATTTTAAACAACTAAGAAAATCTACATCAATATGTCTAACCATATGATGTTCTACATCTATTAAAAGTTTTAATTTTTCTACTAGTATAGTTTTTTTTGTCGGGACTTCACATAAGAGATAAAGTTCATTACAATGGATATAATAATATCTTGTTTTTTTTTTTATTTTTTTTTTTATTATCGTTTATTTATTTTCATTTTTTAATAATACATAAACTATATAAACATTAGTTAATAATAATATTTAGTAATATACAAAGTCCCATATTTGAGCTCTCGAGTATTATCGGTAATAATTATTCTATTTTTTTTTAAATATTAATGTATTATTTTCTTTGAATAAAGAATATATTATGCTTATTGTAATGAACAATTAAAAAAAACATTACATTTTTATTGGAAGAGTTTAAAAGAATGTCAAATAATAAAAGGAATAATAATATCTTGTTTAGAAACCGAAATATAACCGGCCTTGAAACATTGCCTCAGCGATATTGTGCTTTCTGAGAAACTTTAGTCCCGGCCAAAAATGTTCACTAGTATATATATATATATATATATATATATATATATATATATATATATATATATATATATATATAATTAAAAAGCTACCATTTGACATAGAATCACTTGCTCTGCAGCTTTAGTTATATACGTCAATTTGTCCATCCTTTGATGTATTATTTATTGATTTTCGTTAATATCGGTAATTCGTGTAGCCCCCATACAACTTTCCAATCGGAATTTTAGTTAACAATTAAGTATCGAAGGGGACCAAACTTGGCACAAGTCAATTCTAAGTTTTCAGAGGCGGCGCTATGTGGGCTTAAAATAGGTCTCCTTCGTCATGTACTTTTCTTAAACTGTAATTTTGAACTACTTTTTTAAAAGAAATCGGTTGAAATATAGAACCGATTTTAATGTTATTCACACAAAAAAATCTTCAAGAACATCTAACAATATTATATTTCTCTGAAAGATTTATTTGCACTTACGTTGGACCTATAACAACCTTTAAGTTCATTCGTCTTTACATTCTTTAATTATCCTTTAGTATAATTCTCAAGATAATTGATGAATTGAACGAACATATGTACGCCTCATTTGACTAGACAATAGACTAGACTATAGATTAGACTATAGACTAGACTATACGCTATAGACTATAGACTAGACTATAGACTAGACTATAGACTAGACTATAGAATATACTATAGACTAGACTATAGACTAGACTATAGACTACTACTAGACTATAGACTAGACTATAGACTAGACTATAGACTAGACTATAGACTAGACTATAGAATATACTATAGACTAGACTATAGACTAGACTATAGACTAGACTATAGACTAGACTATAGACTAGACTATAGACTAGACTATAGACTAGACTATAGACTAGACTATAGACTAGACTATAGACTAGACTATAAAGTAGACTATAGACTAGACTATAGACTAGACTATAGACTAGACTATAGACTAGACTATAGACTAGACTATAAAGTAGACTATAGACTAGACTATAGACTAGACTATAGACTAGACTATAGACTAGACTATAGACTAGACTATAGACTAGACTATAGACTAGACTATAGACTAGACTATAGACTAGACTATAGACTAGACTATAGACTAGACTATAGACTAGACTATAGACTAGACTATAGACTAGACTATAGACTAGACTATAGACTAGACTATAGACTAGACTATAGACTAGACTATAGACTAGACTATAGACTAGACTATAGACTAGACTATAGACTAGACTATAGACTAGACTATAGACTAGACTATAGACTAGACTATAGACTAGACTATAGACTAGACTATAGACTAGACTATAGACTAGACTATAGACTAGACTATAGACTAGACTATAGACTAGACTATAGACTAGACTATAGAATAGACTATAGACTAGACTATAGACTAGACTATAGACTAGACTATAGACTAGACTATAGACTAGACTATAGACTAGACTATAGACTAGACTATAGACTAGACTATAGACTAGACTATAGACTAGACTATAGACTAGACTATAGACTAGACTATAGACTAGACTATAGACTAGACTATAGACTAGACTATAGACTAGACTATAGACTAGACTATAGACTAGACTATAGACTAGACTATAGACTAGACTATAGACTAGACTATAGACTAGACTATATACTTGACTATAGACTAGACTATAGACTAGACTATAGACTAGACTATAGACTAGACTATAGACTAGACTATAGACTAGCCTATAGACTAGACTATAGACTAGACTATAGACTAGACTATAGATATAAACTAGTACAGAAAATCGTCTTTAATAAGTTTTTTTGATAATCGAGTTTCATTATACCCTACACCACTTTAGTGGGGAGGGTATATTGGATTTGTGCTGATGTTTGTAACATACAAAAATATTCGTCCTAGACCCACCTTAAAGTATACCAATCGGCTTAGAATCGTTTTCTGAGTCGATTAAGCTATGTCCGTCCGTCCGTCCGTCTGGCTGGCTGGCTGTCCATGTAAACCTTGTGCGCAAGGTACAGGTCGCAATTTTCAAGATAATTGGATGAAATTTGGCACGCACGTTTTATTTGACCTAAGGACGAAGCCTATTGAAAATGGTTAAAATCGGTCCATTATTTCACCTAGCCCCCATAGAACAGAACCCCCCGAAAAGGGCTTCTGAGCTCATAATTATGTTAAATATACAGATATATCGGTAAAATACGGCACAACTAAGTTTTATAGAAGTCTTGATGACCCTGCCAAATTTCATAAAGATCGGGCCACATTTGAACCTAGCTCCCATACAAAGTCCCCTTCAGAAAATTACTTGAATGTCCCAAATTAGCTTATAAACACAAATATCGCGATGAAATTCAGCACAATAAAATATTATGTCAATATAAATATATTCACAAAATTTTATCGGGCTTGGTCCATATTTGCCCCTAGCCTCCATATAAAGCCTCTTTCAGAAAATTAGTTTTTCATCCATAAATTGCTTAAATGTATCGGAACAAGGGAATATTGAAGACAAATGCTTTATTATGAAAAATAAATCACATTTAATATTCATAACTGGTGTAGGGTATCATATGGTCGGCCCCGCCCGACTATAATTTCTTACTTGTTTTACTCTATCGCCCATATACCAAATTCTATTGGGCTGAAAAAAACCCAATAGATGACAATCTGATATGCCAGGACAGAATATCTGAAATACCTAAATTAATGAAATAATCTATTGAATTTAAAACGATTTGGAAATCTTTTAAACAAATTGAACTTTTATTTGACCTTTTTATTATACTTTGTGTATTTATATTACTATATTAGCTATTTATGTAAATGTCAAAGTGTCAACGACCATTTAAGAAAATTTTTCAAATGCAGGAATATAAATTTATATGTTTTATTATTATATTATTAATTTGGCAAAAATATTCTTTCAAATTGGCACAACTTCAAGTTTTTGTGAGAAAAAATCCAAATAAAAGTTAATGAGAAATATACAAATACGTATGATTAATATTTGTTAACTGCACACTGAAGCGTATGAGTATCATTAGTGAAAATTTTTAGAGCGTATGATTATTATTATGTAGTTTGCAACTAATAAATTTTTCTTTTTTGTTTTCTTGCAGAACTAACGAACTGTAATGACAATGACAATGCCAATCATAAAATAAAATAAAAATTTTGGCTCAGATCGTGACAATACAAGTACAACTTTTTACCGTCAACAATATCAAAAGTATAAACAAAAAACTAATTAAAATGCAATTTAAATTAACAAAACAACAAGAACTAAAAAAGTTGCACTATAAACGCCAACTTAAGCAACATAACAAATTCAACAGAACAAACATAAGCACCAACAACCATTAACAGCGGCATAATACAGTTAAAGTTTGCATTTCATTTTACTTTTTTTAATAAAAAAAAAACAAGCAAAAACAAAATAGTTGAAGAAAGTAGAAAATAAAAATTCATCTAAATGGAATACAGAATAAAATAAATTGTAGCTGCATCTAAATGAAGTTAACAATCTGTCAATTTGGTAAATTGTTTCTGCTGTTGACAGCCTTTTTCTTCGTAACTAAATCCTTTCAAATACTTGCTGTTGACGCTGCTGCTACTGCCTCTACCTTTGTTACCCCTGGTCCTATTGCTAACAAAACTGTTACAGTTGCTATAGAAACTAGTGTGAAGACAGATGCTGTTGGCAGTTTAAAGTCTTCTAATACTAATACTCTGGTTGAACAGGACATTGAGCGGAAATTTGAAATAGTTACACAACAGCCAACAACTAAATCGATAATAAAAACTAACAACAACAGAAGCAATAAGGTGAAAAGCCAAGTAAATGAAAAAACACAACAACTACAACATCAAACACTCATAAATAATACATTTAACGTTTTATCAAATAAAGTAGGGGAAAAGTTAGAAAATATTACATTAAAAGGAAATGAAAATCAAACAGCAACAACATTGCCTACAACAAAAATATTCGATTTACCAGCAACTAAACTGCAACAGACTGTTGTAAATGGATTATTAGCAAAACCTTACAATACTCAACCGAATGCCAATAATGTTGACTACAATAATAATGAAAATCATGTCCATGATGACGATGATGATGATGAGTATGTCAAAATTAAGTCAAATGTATCAAGACAAATGTCAGACAGAATACAAAGCTCATCAACCACACATGTGACACATTTAAATCAAATACACTCCGGCCAAACAGCAAACAATGAATTTTTATTACAACAAACCAAAATAAAACAACAAAAGCGCATAAAACCTCAGTTCAATAAACAACCTTTATTACGATCATCGACATCATCATCGTACTCATCTGTATCAGCATCAGCAGTAGCCGCAATAAAATTAAATACAGTCTCTTCAGCTTCAACATCATTATTACCCCTACGATCTCAATATAATCAAAAGCAACAGGACTATACATCATTCGATTTAAACCAGTATCCATTTAGACAACAGTCACAACAACTAGAACATCAAAAAATATCCTCTAAAACAGCAGCATCAGCTAAAACATTACCATCATTGTCGTCATCATCATCAGCATCATCATCGGGGAAACGTGTGGGTATTTTAATGCCTTCTCGTCTGCTCAATAGAATGCATGTGCAACAGGGTTTTCGTAATTTTGTGGAATTTTTCCAAGTGAACTTGAACAATGTCAGTGTTGATTTTATACCAGATGATGGTAAGTTTCTATAAATATTTTGGTGCTTTTTTTCATCTGTCTGTTGTGTTTGCGTGCTCATTTTTTTTATTATTTATATATATTATTCATTGTTTATAGAGGTTTTGGAAAAAAAATAAGAATTTTATTTCGTTCTCGAAATTAAATACATAATCCCCTCAATATTGTAATTCAGTTCTAGTTCACTTCTAGTTCAGTTCTAGTCCAGTTCTAGTTCAGTTGTACTTCAGTTCTACTTCAGTTCTAGTTCAGTTCTAGTTCAGTTCTACTTCAGTTCTAGTTCAGTTCTAGTTCAGTTCTACTTCAGTTCTAGTTCGGTTCTAGTTCAGTTCTAGTTCAGTTCTACTTCAGTTCTAGTAGTCTAGTCAGTCTAGTTATCAGTTCTAGTTCAGTTCTAGTTCAGTTCTAGTTCAGTTCTAGTTCAGTTCTAGTTCAGTTCTAGTTCAGTTCTAGTTCAGTTCTAGTTCAGTTCTAGTTCAGTTCTAGTTCAGTTCTAGTTCAGTTCTAGTTCAGTTCTAGTTCAGTTCTAGTTCAGTTCTAGTTCAGTTCTAGTTCAGTTCTAGTTCAGTTCTAGTTCAGTTCTAGTTCAGTTCTAGTTCAGTTCTAGTTCAGTTCTAGTTCAGTTCTAGTTCAGTTCTAGTTCAGTTCTAGTTCAGTTCTAGTTCAGTTCTAGTTCAGTTCTAGTTCAGTTCTAGTTCAGTTCTAGTTCAGTTCTAGTTCAGTTCTAGTTCAGTTCTAGTTCAGTTCTAGTTCAGTTCTAGTTCAGTTCTAGTTCAGTTCTAGTTCAGTTCTAGTTAAGTTCTAGTTCAGTTCTAGTTCAGTTCTAGTTCAGTTCTAGTTCAGTTCTAGTTCAGTTCTAGTTCAGTTCTAGTTCAGTTCTAGTTCAGTTCTAGTTCAGTTCTAGTTCAGTTCTAGTTCAGTTTCTAGTTCAGTTTCTAGTTCAGTTCTAGTTCAGTTCTAGTTCAGTTCTAGTTCAGTTCTAGTTCAGTTCTAGTTCAGTTCTAGTTCAGTTCTAGTTCAGTTCTAGTTCAGTTCTAGTTCAGTTCTAGTTCTAGTTCAGTTCTAGTTCAGTTCTAGTTCAGTTCTAGTTCAGTTCTAGTTCAGTTCTAGTTCAGTTCTAGTTCAGTTCTAGTTCAGTTCTAGTTCAGTTCTAGTTCAGTTCTAGTTCAGTTCTAGTTCAGTTCTAGTTCAGTTCTAGTTCAGTTCTAGTTCAGTTCTAGTTCAGTTCTAGTTCAGTTCTAGTTCAGTTCTAGTTCAGTTTCTAGTTCAGTTCTAGTTCAGTTCTAGTTCAGTTCTAGTTCAGTTCTAGTTCAGTTCTAGTCTTCTAGTTCAGTTCTAGTTCAGTTCTAGTTCAGTTCTAGTTCAGTTCTAGTTCAGTTCTAGTTCAGTTCTAGTTCAGTTCTAGTTCAGTTCTAGTTCAGTTCTAGTTCAGTTCTAGTTCAGTTCTAGTTCAGTTCTAGTTCAGTTCTAGTTCAGTTCTAGTTCAGTTCTAGTTCAGTTCTAGTTCAGTTCTAGTTCAGTTCTAGTTCAGTTCTAGTTCAGTTCTAGTTCAGTTCTAGTTCATTCTAGTTCAGTTCTAGTTCTAGTTCAGAAAGCTCTTTGGCAATACCAGATTCGGATTATAATCTGAACTAGTCCAAGAGATAATTATCTGTTGAGGCAGTAGTTTTCTCACATTTTAAATTAATATTCTATTCGTTTCGTTAACACAAACGGTATTCCCATTTTCAGTCCTTGTGCCTTAACTGCATTGTTTAACTCTCATATTTTCAAAACACATTTGATTCCTTTACGCATATGTACATAACGACTACAACCTAAAGTCTGGGGGTTTCTTTTATTTAAACATTCAGCCATGCAGAAATAAAAATAAATAGTTTTCTTTTACAAGAATAAAAGTGTATGCATAATGGAAGTGTAGTCAACAAAAAAAGTAAAGAATAAAAGAACCATATAAATCTCAAATGATTATGATAATGATGATGATGTTTTTCGGTATTGTATATTTTTACGTATTCCTTAAAACCTACCTTTATTAAAAAAAAGAAAAACATTTCATAAAATTTTGTTGAACTTTGAGTTATTTGTTGCTCTTTAGTGTGTTTGAATAAATGACTGGCTGACAGCTTGTACTGACTGACTGACTAACACAGTAGGCAAAATGCCATATAAGTTTGTTGAGGTTTTACTTTTCTTCTTTTTTTATGCATTGTTGTTGCTATTTGTTTAGTTTATACTTTCCTGTATGAAAATGAAAAGAAAAATGCAGAAAATAATAATAACTTGTAAAGTATAAAGGTAATATAACCAGAAATTTGTTGTTAAAATTATGATGGCCTTTTTATTACTGCTTAAGGGGAAAGAAGTGATGGAAAGTTATATTTTTTTTACTTGTATAATAACCTTGAATGTTAAGGTAAATAAAATAAAATATAAGAGAATTAAATGTGTAGAATTAAAGACTTTATTTGTATATAATTTTCTAAAGAAATAATTTTCTATTAAGAAACATTATTTTAACAATTATAAAATAATATGTAATTCATATAGCCCATATGTAAGAAACTAAACAATAAGAAGGCATGTCATAAATATGTTCTCATAATAAAGCTGTAAAGTAAATCTTAATTCTTATGAATACATTTTTACAGTGGGTCTTATATTTATTCTATTTTTTCAAAACTTTCCCTTTGGCTAACTATTCTTTGTTATAACTCCATGGTTTTACAACATTTTAATAATTAATTATTAATCATACGCTATGGTGCACCACATTGCTAAATAAACTAGCAATTGCTTTATTCTCTTGCCGCCGTTGCGCTAGATTTCATCTTAAAACTTTTTAAAGTTTATTTTTTTTTAAACACATACATTTATAAAGAAAAGCAACCATCTCTTATGCTATAAAACACTGAATAAATATTATGTTGTAGCATTTTTATAAGCATGAGACAAACCGCAGTAAGATATAAAGACAGTACAAGAAATTTAAACTTTTTAAAACTTAAGGAAAAGTTTAAATAATAGCAAGTAAAGCAACAATAACTTAAGAAAACAACATACATAGACTTAATACTGCAGGCACCTTAAACCCTTATCCAACCCCATTGTTATTGATTGTTACCAATATATTTGTCTGCACTTGCCACACATAAAGCACATCCAACATCAGCAAAAGCTTAACTGGGACACAGGGAAACGTTAAGCAGCAGATCTTGCCGCTACAGCTGTTTGCTATGAAAATAACATAAATTATTATAAAAATACTTCTGCACATTTTCTATAAAACGAAGACTTGATCGAAAATTGTGGAAAATTTATGGAAATATCCTCTAAGAAGAACATTTTTTTGAAAATTTTCCTTGAGAAGAAAATTTTTATTGAAAATTTCCTCCAAGAAGATAATTTTTATCAAAAATTTTCTATAAAGACAAAATGTTATGAAATTGTTCTATAAAATAAACTTTTTATCGAAAATTTTTTATAAAAAAATTTCTATAAAGAACATTTTATCAAAAATTTTCTATAAAAGGATAATTTTTATCAATAATTTTCTATAAAAAGAGAATTTTTATCAAAAATTTTTTATAAAAAGAGAATTTTTATCAAAAATTTTCTATAAAAAGAGAATTTTTATCAAAAATTTTCTATAAAAAGAGAATTTTCATCGAAAATTTTCTAAAAAAAGAAAATCCTTATCGAAAATTTTCTATAAAAAAAAGATTTTTATCGAAAATTTTCTATAAAAAAAAAGATTTTTATCGAAAATTTTCTATAAAAAAAAAGATTTTTATCGAAAATTTTCTATAAAAAAAAGATTTTTATCGAAAATTTTCTATAAAAAGAAGATTTTTGTCGAAAATTTTCTATAAAAAGAAAATGTTTACCGAAAATTTTTTATAAAAAGAAAATTTTTATCGAAAATTTTCTATCAAAAAGAAAATTTTTATCGAAAATTTTCTATAAAAAGAAAATATTTACCGAAAATTTTCTATAAAAAGAAAATTTTTACCGAAAATTTTCTATAAAAAAAAAAATACCGAAAATTTTCTATAAAAAGAAAATTTGTTTCGATAATTTTCTATAAAAAAAAAATACCGAAAATTTTCTATAAAAAGAAAATCGTTAATGAACATTTTATATAAAAGAACCAATTTTATTAGAATTTCTTATAAAAAAACTTTTATTGGAAATTTTCTAGCAAAAGAAAATTTCTATAAAAAGAAAATTTGTATCGAAAATTTTCTAAAAAAGAAAATTTGTATCGAAAATTTTCTAAAAAAGAAAATTTGTATCGAAAATTTTCTAAAAAAGAAAATTTGTATCGAAAATTTTCTAAAAAAGAAAATTTGTATCGAAAATTTTCTAAAAAAGAAAATTTGTATCGAAAATTTTCTAAAAAAGATAATTTGTATCGAAAATTTTCTAAAAAAGAAATTTTATCAAAAATTTTCTATAAAAAGAAAATTTTTATCAAAAATTTTCTATAAAAAGAAAATTTTTATCAAAAATTTTCTATAAAAAGAAAATTTTTATCAAAAATTTTCTATAAAAAGAAAATTTTTATCAAAAATTTTCTATAAAAAGAAAATTTTTATCAAAAATTTTCTATAAAAAGAAAATTTTTATCAAAAATTTTCTATAAAAAGAAAATTTTTATCGAAAATTTTCTATAAAAAGAAGATTTTTATCGAAAATTTTCTATAAAAAGAAGATTTTTATCGAAAATTTTCTATAAAAAGAAGATTTTTATCGAAAATTTTCTATAAAAAGAAGATTTTTATCGAAAATTTTCTATAAAAAGAAGATTTTTATCGAAAATTTTCTATAAAAAGAAGATTTTTATCGAAAATTTTCTATAAAAAGAAGATTTTTATCGAAAATTTTCTATAAAAAGAAGATTTTTATCGAAAATTTTCTATAAAAAGAAGATTTTTATCGAAAATTTTCTATAAAAAGAAGATTTTTATCGAAAATTTTCTATAAAAAGAAGATTTTTA